ACAAGGGGAAAATTATCCCAGGTCCAAGATAAAGTGAAGACAAAACAAAACTAAAGTTTCTTTAAACCCTGTTGGCTCACAGATTCTGGGCCCTTAAAGGACTTTATGGAGTCACAAAGTAGAACAGAAAAAAAGCAAAGGACCCTAGAAAACATCTTCTAACGGAAGTAAAAAGGTAGCATCGTGGAGGCATGGAAAGGCTTGTATATATCTGTAAACATCATGGCAAGACACAGAAGAGATTTTCACAAACTGTGTCCACATTGTTCTCATAAGACAGAGTTGAGAGAATAAACAAATAAGGCCCCAGGAAGGCAAGAAGTCGAGGCATGAGGAAAGCACATCCTAAGACTGCAGCAACAAAAAGGGGGGGATGGTCCTCGTTATACCCACTATTAGCTGAAGCTGGCAGCAACCCAAATACCCATTGGCCAGAACATATAAATAATTGTGGCATATTTAGATGATGGGATACTATAGATTAGTGAAAATGAATCAACTTCAGCTATCTCCTCAAAAAACATGGCTGAGTCCAAAAAAATAAATAAACATTAAAAAAAAAAAAAAGCCATGGACTAGATGAGTGGCTTCTACAAACTGGACTCTCCAGCTGGGGCTGACAAGGGGAAAATTATCCCAGGTCCAAGATAAAGTGAAGACAAAACAAAGAAACTAAAGTTTCTTTACAAACCCTGTTGGCTCACAGATTCTGGGCCCGCAAAGGACTTTATGGAGTCACAAAGTAGAACAGAAAAAAGCAAAAGGGACCCTAGAAAAACATCTTCTAACGGGAAGTAAAGGTAGCATCAGTTGGAAGACGTGGAGGAAAGGCTTGTATATATATGTGTCTCTGTAAACATCATGGCAAGACACAGAAGAGATTTTCACAAACTGTGTCCACATTGTTCTCATAAGACAGAGAGTTGAGAGAGAATAAACAAATAAGGCCCCAGGAAGGCAAGAAGTCAGAGGCATGAGGAAAGCACATCCTAAGACTACTGCAGCAACAAAAAAGGGGGATGGTCCGATTATACCCTAATAGCTGAAGCTGGCAGCAACCCAAATACCCATTGAGAATAGAACATATAAATAATTGTGGCATATTTATAGATGATGGGATACTATAGATTAGTGAAAATGAATCAACTTCAGCTATCCTCAAAAACATGGCTGAGTCTCGCAAATATGTTGAGGAAAAGAGGCTGGGAACAAAAGAACAGACATGGCATTGGCCCCACTGAGATGAAGGGAAATGCAAACACCATGAAACGCTGAGAGGAAATAGGCTGGTGGTTGTCTTTGAGGAAGAGGCATTGGAAAGGGCCCCGGGGATACTTTAAGGTGCTAACAATACTACATTCCTTAGCCTCAGTAGTTGTTGAATGAATGTTCATGTTCAATAATAACTGAATTGTGCATTAATACTTCCCTGTATTCTATTTTAACCAAAGTTGGGTGTTTTTTGTTTTTTGTTTTTGTTTTTTGTTTTTTAAAGGAAGGAGGCAGGCACCTGGGTGGCTTAGTCAGTTGAGTATTTGATTCTTGATTTTGGCTCAAGTCATGGCCCCGGGGTCGTGGGATCGAGCCCCAGGTCGGGCCCCATGCTGGACGTGGAGCCTGCTTGAGATTCTCTCTCTCCCTCTCCCTCTGCCCTTCTCCTCCACTCACACACCCTCTTTCTCTCTCTAAAAGAAAAAGAAAAAGAAAAAGGAAGGAGGACTACTGAAGTAAAATTAAGCTTCAAGGAAACTGAAACTTCCAGAAAACTGAAGATATGCTCTAAACGCAGTAATAAAAAAATTTTCTTAATGACTATAGACAAGTAAGTCAATGATGTAGAAGACAAACTCGAGAAGGAATGCAGACTACATAAAATGATGTGAGTAGAGATGTATGATGTGGAAAACAAAGAATGAAAATGTAGCATTAGAACGAAAGGCACGAAATACCCGCACTCAGACATTTCACAGTGGCCAGATTACATCCTAACAGCCTCAAATGGGAAACCCAAATATCCATCCTGAATGAAATGGATACAGAAATTGAAGTATACTGACATACAATGGATACTCATGCCATGTATGAATGAAAACGTATGAATTCAGACAGAGGTAAATTTAAAGATTAAGACAGCAGCATCGTAAGATTAGTCAGTCAGTAGGATTAAGAAAATGGTTTTCACAAAATTAGAATTGGTAAACCTAATAAACGTTTACATGATACACTCTGAAAGTGCAAGGTATCGCTCATAGGGGCACCTGGGTGGCTTCGTTGGTTAAGCGTCAGGTTCCTGATCCCGGCTCAGGTCACGATCTTGCAGTTCATGAAATTGAGCCCCATGTGGGGCTCTGAGCTGATAGCACAGAGCCTGCTTGGAATTCTCTCTCTCCATCTCTGTACCTCTCCCGCTCGTGCTCTCTCTCTCTCACTCTCTTCCTCCCTCTCTGCCCCTGCCCCACTCATGCGTGTGCACTCTCTCTCTCTCTCTCTCTCTCTCTCTCTCAAAATAAATAAATAAATATTTTTTTTTTATTTAGGGGAGGTAGGGGAACCCTCGGCGATTCGTAAGCGGGGGATTGCAGCCTCCACGGGGTAAGGAAGGGGGCACAGTGAGGGAAGGCAGTGCCCAACTAATGGATCACAAAGGAAGCTTTGATTCCCCTCAGTGTCCAACACATCAACTCCCTGTGCAATGCCATGTTTCCTCTGAGGATAAATGAGTGGCCCAGAGCAACAGGAAACAGGTCTTTAGGGCTCAGAGAACAGCAAACAGACAAAGCCTCGGAAAGGTGTCTTCCCCGAGAACCAACCTGCGCTTGGTTTTCAGACCCTGCCTGCTGGCTCTACCCTCAGTGCACATCTGCACAGCCCTGCGCGGAGCCCCAAGATGCTCGTAATAAAGCATGAGCAGTCATAACTCAGGGTTCACCTTGGCCAAAAGTAAATAAGTAGAAGGAATCTTCCATCAGAAAATAAATGGCCCTTCTCCAAGCTGAGAGCTGGATTACCCTCCTGAAGGACAACAGAGTGTCTTCAGCAGCTGGCCTCAGGCCTCAGGCTATAAAGTCTGGCTGGACTTCATTAGGGACTCCGCGGGGCCCCCACTGCTAAGCCTGCCCATGTAGGCTTGAGGGCTGTTAGAATCTCTCCCTGCTATTCGTGCCTGCTGAGAAGGCACCTTTCAGCCCTGCTCAGCTGCCTGGGGCTGAGTGAAACACGCTCCTGAGCTAGGCCACTTGCCCAGGTATACGGAGAGCGATTCCACTGGCCACCCTGGGGGTGGGGGGGGCGTGGGGGGGACGGCAAAATCCAGCCCGCAGTCCTCTTGAAAAGCTGTGCGCCCTGGCAGTGGCCCAGATTTAACAGAGAAAAAAGCCGATGCTCTAAGGAGAAATCATCTCTTGATTATTCAGAGCAACGCTGGGAGGGAAGGGAAAAGGCAAGGGAAAGCCAGGATCTGTAAGAGCCACAGGTGATTTCCAAACTCCCTTTGGTTAGTCATCTCGACCTCTTTAAGAGTCACCTTTAAACACAGGGACTTCCTGCCCGGATCTCATGGCCTCTACTCACGGAGCCTTCCAGCCCCTCCTGCTGATGACTGAGCCCAGGGACCTACTCAACTAAACAGAAACGCAAACACACCCCCAAATCAATGTACCACTTCCCTAAGCGGACTCCCCGGGGGTCCGGGGAAGCCTGGGTCCCGCTCAACATACTAGCTGAGCTTTGGCCTTCTGTATGGTCACCTGGCTTTGGAGGCAGTCAGGCCTCTACTGCCTGCTTCTGCGTCCGAATGTCCTCTGGCCAACTGAAGCCGAGGAGATCCCCCGAGGGTCCTGCTCTCCTCTCCTGCCACCAGCCTCTGTCCAGACGGGGGCGAGCCTGGCTCTGCTTCCTGTCACTCCGGCTTCCTGTCACATGCCCCCACCGGGAACCCTACCCACCAGCCTCTGCTGCCTTACGGTTTACTTATATAAATAAGCCAGTCTTTTAGATGAGCAAGCAATCAAAATGGACAAGAGCAGGAAAGGCTATCAGACGGCCCTGTCCCTCCGCCTTCCTCCACTCCTGCCCAGTCTGCAGCAAGCTGGGCTTCGCTGGCCCAGAGCTGGATTTCCCCGCCTTCCTCTTGCGAGTAACGTCCGTGAGGCGCCCCTCTTGCACGGAGACAGCACGCTGGTCAGACCATGTCACTTAAAAGCAAATAGGTGGGCCATCGGGGTAACTCTGACGTCTCTTTAGAAAGCAAATTTCAACTCCATGCTTTAAAATGGTGTTCACAAGGAACACGGCATCCCAAAACGTCGGGGAGAGCGGATTCTGGCTCGGCCTCTGCGGATGTAACACCTAGCTGAACATCTGGCTGATTCCACCTCATTTTCGATTCTCGAAGAAATTAAGTCCTTCTTCCTCTTTGTAATTTTGCTGTTTAATCAGGGGGTTACCAATGAGGAGACGACAGGGCACGGTCCCAGGATGAATTTAGTCACGGTGTTCCCATCCCTATCCCTGCCCTGAACACCCAGGACTACACCGTGTAACAAAGGAACAGAGGCAATTAAAATAATTGCTGTCCATTCCCACCATGTCTAGGCTTCCAGAGGATTCTGATCTGGGCAGGATTCAAAGCACCATGGCCCCAAGTCAAGAGACAGCCATTAGCAGGGCTTAAAACCTCCCCTACAGCTGGGCCCTGCGTAAATGACAATATGGAAAAATGACGACGCCACTGGTGATCAAGATTCCGTAAACTGGAAAATGTATTTTGGGAGCGGAAGGCTGTCCCCCCAAGTCCGTGTACAAAGAAACCAAATAACGAGGTCTGTCCCGCACAAAGATGTCATTTATGCAGAATTTATCTCTGAGCCCGCTCCCGTTCGCACCACCGTTAGACTTGGCCACAACGGGTGGCCAGAGTCTGGCACTTTCACCGTAGACGCACAATCGCCTCAGATGCCTCCCGTGGGTGGCTGACCTCCCAGACAGGGCGGGCTCCTTACCGTCCAGCTCCTCCACGGAGATATTAGCAAGCTGCTCGCTGTCGCTGCCCGCGGACAGAGATCGGTTGAGGTAATTCCCCTTGTACAACAAGCCAGCGGTCACGTGGTGGAAAGGCATCTTCTCCCTGTTCACAGAGAAGCGGGAGTGGGGAGAGAAAGAGGTCACCGTCCGTTCCTTCTTTCCTTCCTGAAAGGACCACCTTGGTTTTCAGATGGCCGGTTGTCACTTTTAAAAGAACCATCACATTTCTAGAGGGAAAGTCAGAAAATCCCAGGGTCCCCGTGGCCTGAACAACTCCCCAGGGACCCCGAGTTCTAGCGCTTTCTTTGCTTTACGTGCTACTTCACTGTCCCGATTTACTCGTGAGTTGGAACCATGTGGTCCTTGCACGCCATGGGACATCATGTCATCATCACATCCTCGTCCTCTCCGGGCAAAGAAGAAGCCTCCCTGCTCCTACACTTGGCCCGATAAACTTTTTTGGTCCTCCTTAAGGAACGCACATCTCAGAAATGCTGGGCTCCCCGGGGACTGGGCGTCTGAGCTGTGACCGTGTGGGAGATCCAAGGGTTTGACTTCTCCCAGGTAAAGCAGATGAGCCACTCACACAGCACCCGAATCGGGTGGGAAACGGCAGGCCCTAAGTAAATACAGACAACCTTCTGCACCTGGGAGAGGCGGCCCCCGTGCCAGGCTTGGGTGCAGACACCTGCTGGTCAAAGCCGCTCACGAGCGCAGCCCTCTGGGACGCCGCTCAGGCCACCCGCCCTGCCAGAAAGGCGCGTGGCACTCAGTGTCCCAGAACAAAGCTGCTTCCAGAATCTTACAGGGAATTACTGCATCCCTTAGACCAGCAAAGCTCCTCTGCCCAGAAGACAGCCCTGGGGCTTAAGAGGTCCCACCAGTGCGACACAGGCTAGGGGAAGAGGGAGGAAAGAGGCAGCGTAGGGAGACAGAGCAAGTGCAAAAGAGAAAGACAAGGCAGCTAGAAAGGTGGGCTTCTCCACAGCACAGAGAACACGACTCTCTGTTACGGCGAGGGAGCCGCGGAGCGTGTTGGGACACATGTTGTGCTCCCCTATCTGGAAAGGGGGCTAAGAGGACTGATCCCCCTTTGAGTGGAATTAGGGAACAGGTAGGAAGTGCGGGGAGTCCATTACAGGCTGTGAGTAAAGAACACCTCTTAACAGGGCTCCGGGAAGGTGAACTGGGCAGCACTGGAGGGGGTGATCTCCCCACCCCTGGGGGCATTCAAGCAGCGGTGAGGGCCTCTCTGCCAGGGTTCTGTGGGAGAGAGATAACTCCTGAGCTCTCTCCCCACACATCCCTCACTCTCCAGAGAAGCCACTTGTGAAGTCTTATTTCTTACTACGGTTTGCACCTGTATGATACGAGGGAGCAGCCCCAAGGGCCCTCCAGGCACTGATGAGGTAAAAGCTATAACTTACAGGAAGACACCCCCCCCCCCCCGGTCTCTGAGGATGACCGCTCGGGACATCCAGCCTTGCTGTCCCTCAAACCCACACTCGTGACAAGAACTGTCCTAACCGTGGGAGGTTGGAGCCGGCAGGCACCAGGGACACCCGGTGACAAGTGACAAGTCCTGCAGGACCCACACCCCACCCTCTCTCCAGGCCAGAGCACACACTGGCAGGTCCCTGTTTGGGCTGAGAGCCGCTAACTTACAAACTAACCAACGAGACACCTAAAAGCTACGGGGCTTGACCCGGAACACAGAGCCGGTTAGCAGAAGAATCAGTTCTAGAACACAGGCCTTCTTAGTGCTATTTCCACTAAGCGCGTCAGCTAAGCACCAGACATTTCCACCGGATGTCAAACTCTCATTTCAAACTCAAGATGTCTAAAAACGAATTAATTATCTTCCTGAAAAATAGGCCACACTTCCTGATTTCTCGATTTCTCTCAAAGGTACTTTTCACTCATCGTAACAGACGGGACATCTCTCACAAATGTTCTGGGTCCCCAAAAAGTAAAACAGACACACGGCTGAGGCAAGAGCCGGCCATCAGGCTCCAAAACCACACTCACCCCTCCCCGGCTCACAAAACCTACATCCGCCAGCCAATCACGAACGGCAGGATGCTCGTTACAAAGCACGTCTACACTGGCCAATTACAAGGGGAACGTTCTCAGCTAATTAGAAGTCAGACTTACGCCTCGCAGCTGAATCTATCCTCACACATAAAAAACAAGAATCTTTTGGGGTGCCTGGGTGGCTCAGTGGGTTGAGCGTCCCACTTTGGCTCAGGTCATCATCTCGCAGCTCGTGGGTTTGAGCCCCACGTCGGGCTCTGTGCTGACAGCTCAGAGCCCGGAACCTGCTTCGGATTCTGTGTCTCCCTCTCTTTCTGCCCCTCGCCTCCACCTCTCTCTCAAAAATAAACATTAAAAGAAGTTCAATACAAGAAGCTTTCTCTTGGACAAACACTTCAATTACCATCTCCTCTTTTCACCGAGCGAAGATTTTCAGACCAAACACACTGACAAGTGAGAATCAGATGTCCCTTTTGCCAGGGCCGATCCTAATTTGGGGACAGGGCCATGGGCTGTGCTTAGTTCCCAACACTGGCTTCAGCTTCCCTCCCACCACTGGCCACAGGACCCAGTCGGCTTTATCAGCGGTTATCTTAATTTCTAAGTCGTACAAACATGGGAAGACACGAATTTCACCACCCGGGGAGAGTCCCCCCACCCCGGCCGCCAAGCTCAGCACATGCGCAGAAAACATCCCCTTCCCCTTTCACCGCCCATCATTCTAGGTTGTCCGCGTTTTATAAACATCTGCCCATTATGAGCCTGTCTGTCTGAGGCTCTGGGGGCACCACACAAATGCCTCCAGCCACAGTGACAAGGTTATACTCGGTCGGATGTAATCCAAGCCCCTCCCCAGGTTCAGTCACAGAATATATGTGGAGCACTTTGCAGAGAAAACTGGCCACCAGTGAGTCCCATTTGACAGACCAACATGATTTGCTTCTGGAAAAAGCAGCTTGCAAAAGTAGGCTCACAATCAGGGCGCCCAGCCTGCGCCCCCAACCGCTCCACGTAGCGTGGGGGAAGGAAACATGTAAGTGGACCCTGCGCGTGGACAAATGGAGTCGTGTTCAAGAAAGGGAGGAATAAATACAATCCCAAGGAAGCTAAAAACAGCCGCTGCAATTAAAAACTAAATTTCACTCCACGCCACCTGGGGAAACCCAAGCTTTCAGATGGTCCCTTTGGCCAAGGAAGGGAAATACACACAAGTTCATCAGCAGAGACAAACACGATCCTGCACCGGAACTTGAAGATGGATCCTTCTTTCCAAGAAATATTTTTTCAGTGGCAATTTTATTCATCGAGAGATATTAATTTGACGGTATGTCATATGGACAATTTTTTTTTTTTTTTTTTTTTTTGTATTTTCTGTAAGGCAGTGCAGTTTCATGGTAAGGAGTCAGAACTTTCTGGTCAAATCCAGGGTTGGGACTGAAACTGTAGCTCTTACCCTTATGGGCCACGGAGGTAAGTTGCTAACCTCTGTTAGCAGCACTCTCCTCTATGCAAAAATGGGGGAGGTTTTTGTATACACCGAACAGTATTTTTGTAAATGTGAAAAAAGATAAATTCCAGAAAGCACTGGGTTTAATACTAGACATACTCCCAACAATACCACTGATTATCTGCTGAAGATTGTATGGAAGCGGAACTAAAGAGACCGCAGTTCAGTAGGTTAGCGAAAATAAAACAAGCTGGAGGTTATTAAGGATCAGTAAGGATTGACGAGGGGCTGACTTCAGAGAAGAGAAGTTGAATGGCAATGTGCACCGGTGCTGGGGATCTGGTGTGTGAACATGGCAAGAGCCTGAGGAGGCTGGGGAGGTAGGGGCAGAGGTGTCCCAATGCCACGTGCTCTCAGCAAGCAGCCAACTGTATCAGGAGCGAGGAGCTATTGAATGGAAAGCACCAAACTGAAGATGAGTCTGCTTCCTGGGCACAGGAGTTGGTTTTAATGACTATACCTCCCGAGGGGCAAGGTAATCAGAGGCTAAAAAGGTGGAGTATATAGGGGAAGGGTGAAAACCGATGAAAGGGAGTAAAACACCTTATCCTGATGAGCACTAGTATGTAATATTAAAACTATTTAGAATCCACTATGTTGCCAAACCTGAAACTAACATATAACATATATGTGTTCACTATACTAAATAAGATTAAAAATAAGGAAGGAAGGAAGGAAGGAAGGAAAAGGAAGGAAGGAAGGAAGGAAGAAGGAAGGAAGAAGGAAGGAAGGAGAGGAGAAGAGAAGAGAGAAAAGAGAGAATAGAAGGAGTGGAAAAAGGAAGGGAGGAGGGAGGAAGGGGAGGTGGACGGAAGGAGGAGAGAGAAGGGAAGAAGGAAGGGCGACTTCTGTTTCTTAAAGGAACTGGCATGTTTCTAGCAGAGTAATAAGCAGAAGAGACCACTCACATCGACTTGAGATTAATCTACGTCGAGGATAGTTATTCATATATATGGACTGAACATTATTCTAAGGTGTGTCTGTAAGAGTGTTCCTATGAATAAATGAAACGTTCAATCAATGACTCTGAGGGGGTGGGGGTGGGGATGGGAATTGCCCTCCCAAGGTGGGGGCCCGAGGGGCACATCAGCTCTGCCCGAGCCTGAAAACAAAAAAGCAGGAAGTCGTTCTCTGCCCTAACTGCTAAGCTGGGACACCATCTTCTCCAGCTTCAGACTCCGACCCAGACTGGCCGTTTACACCATTGGCTCCTGGGTCCCCAACGCCAACGCTTGCCTTTCATAAAGCCTCTACGGCCTCCATCGCAGGTCGCCAATTCCTTATAATAAATCTACGCTAGACATCCCTACAGGTTGATTTACGTTCTCTGGAGAACCAAGACTAATACACCTTCCCAAAGACTCCAGGCGCACGCTGCTGTGGGCTGATATTATTATTCGGGACAAATACTGCATGTAATTCTGCAGGGCTCCTCAAAGTGTGGCCTGTGGACCACTTGCCAGTTGAACGGCTTACTGCTGGTCCTTGCAGATAAGGAGACAAAAAATTGAAAAGACAACATAAAATTTTACAGCAATTTTAGCATTGTCCCCGGCAT